TGTACCCGTATTCAAGAAGGGAGACCACAAGGAATGCTCCAATTATAGGGGCATAACGTTACTAAACCTCTCAGGTAAAGTCGACGCAAAGATGCTAGAAAGGCTGTGCCGCGAAATAACTTACTTTCTGATACAAGAAGAGCAGTGTAGCTTCCGTCCCGGTTGAAGCACCTTTGATCATATATTTACCCTAGATTGTGGAATAGTGGAATTACTTCCGTCCTTTTTACTGGGCTGGGCAACATTTTTTTGCCTATCCGTCCGGCAGAGGGAGCAGTGGACGGCCAAACTTAATCTGGTGGAAATATATGGATATAGTCTGTTCCAGGCTCCAGTTGTCTTCTGCCCAAGCTCAGACTTTCACACGTGATGGGGCATGTTGGAAGCTGTGTCTGACGCGTCTACCTCTGCAACCTTAAGGGAAGAAAGATGAAAGATGAAGTATGAAAGACGGGTATGAAAGATGAAAATGACGTAGTTGTTCGAATCGTATTTTGCTTCTTGCTGTTGAAATTTGATGGTAACGGCGATGAATTTTTCAGTCATTAACACAGGCGTTCTATTTTTCCTTGCATATATCAGTACATTTTTCTGCTTTTCTGCCCATCGTGCCTTTTTATCGTCGAATATTTATTTTAATAACGTTTAAGGGTAACAAAGGCAACCGTGTTTTCCTGCATGCCATCTTCTCAGACTTCGTTTATGAGTGATCTCATCCTCGAGCCTATTTTGCTCCGAATACTTTCATTATATGCGTTTTTTTAAGCAGATTAATTTTTATTTGTCGAACACTAATCAGATACTTCCACAGAGTATGTAATATCATGTGGCTTGTTATTTTTGCAGCCTCACTATTCACAATAGTGATGACACCTACAGAAAATCTGTTTTACATATGCTATGCATTAGATTATTCCTTTCTATCTACTGGGTTATTTTTGTTGTCATACCGCCAATGTGGTCAGCTGCATTGTATTTTTTGGCTGTAGAATGGATTTCTTAAACCTGTCGTGTGCAAAAACTGTCGAATTGTAGCGACTTTCTTTTCTCTAAATATAATGCTTTGCATATTAGACGATGATTAGTTACCAGGAGTTCAACTGATATGATGTCCGTTTTTATGGCAGGCAATTAACTGCACTCATGTTTAGATACACTTTTCCGGAACGGCTATTTCAACGCTGCAGTACTGACTGGTGTTACTGGGAGTAGCTAATATTTATGAATATAAGTATAAACATAACTGGGGCAAAAATAAGCCGTTTTGTTCAGCATCTAGTAGTGCAAAGTTTGTTTTATCACCCCATTCTTTACTTGTAATTGTTATGGTTATTGGTATCAGAATTTGCTTTTTCAGATGAAAGAACTTCCCGATTGAATTAGCGCGGGTTACGGTTGGAACGGTCTATCTCTGACTTGGTCGTAAAGTTCTGGTCTTTATTAGATGCATGCGGATTTGCAGAAATTTACTACTGATCGGATTTGTTAAGTGTGAAGCAACGTTTGATTCCCCAGACCTGGAATGCGGTACTTTCTGTAAGTAAATAATCATGTACCATTAATTTTGTTGACATCTTGTCGAACGTAGTGTGTCTGCACCTCATTGAGAACGAATTGTGCGGTCCTTGATAAGTGGGAGATTCATAGCAATGTAAGGCTGTATTATATCGACCGATCCATGATGTCGAGTTACTGTGATCATGAAAGAGAATTTTAATATGGAAGTGATACTCCATACATCAAAACGTCGTTCTGGATTTTGCTAACAACATTTTTCAAGAACTTCAGAAAACATTTATGTTCATAGTAATAACGTGTCCGAAGTACGGGCTCAGATGAATTCCGATATGGTGTCAAGTTCTTCTGTATTGTTTTCCCGAGAGAATGATTATAACACTGCTGTTGATTGGGAGAATGCGTACTGTGCCAACTTTAATCTGTTTGTCTAAAAGACGTTAAAGGTCCACCATCTCAATAACGGCCAATATGCGTGCAATATATCCGACGGTGTAGATGGCGGCGAATAAACGTTTGGTGGAAGCCCTGTCACCAGAAGACTGGCAGTCATTCGGTGAAAGTTAAACCAGCCCATATCTTTGACCTTGTTACGATCTTACGCGCTAAATTTTTCATCTTCTATGACCGCTTCTTCTTTCGCGTCGTAGAGGCAGACGCGCCAGACAGTGCTTCCAACATTTCTGATCCTGTGCTAGAGTCTGAGCTTCGGTAGAAGACATCTGCAGTCTGTAACAGACTCTTTCCATATATTCGCCTTCTGCCGGTCGGCCCGGCAAGAAATAGTTACTTCGCCTTTCTTTCTAGAAGCATTCCAAACAGTTGGCCAAACCATCGCAGCTGTGACTTCTCAAACTGAAGAATCAGAAGCTGTACACTAAGACTTTCCCGGATGCTATTATTCCGGACTATGTCCGCACTGCTAAGGCATCCGACTCGTCTTAGAAACCCGTTGCGCTGGATCCTGTTTTTTAAGCCAGCCATACAAACTTTTTTTTAAAGCCAACGACGCACATGTACACCGGATTGCCGAACTACCATGATTTCTCAACAATCTGGTGTAAGGCGCGAAGGGGTCAGAGGCGCTTCGACCGGACCGAAAGCCACACTGCTTTTGTATATTGGTGTCGGTTATTCCTCGGCTCATCCTTTCTACTCCGTTTCCGTATATTTTACCTGATAGACTCATTAAAGCAATATCACAATCACTGGAGCACTTTCTGTTGTCTCCGTTCTTAAACAAAGGTATAACATCTCCCGTTCTTCAGTCCGCTGCTGTCTTTCGTGTAGTCATCGCAATTTGACAAACACGTTTAAGTCATCCCATGCCTTGTTCGCTGAACTTTTGAGCATTTCAGGGCGGATTTCATCAGTTGCAACAGCCTTCCCACTTTTAAAGCTTTCCAGAGCTTGTATAAATTCATCTACAGAAGTAGTAAT